CTTGGACGCTGCTCGGTCGCGCGATTCAATACGAATACCTCGGGGAAAGCGCGGGCGCTACCAGCATCATATTTCCTGAAGTCGAAGCTCCGGAGTATGGAATTCGCGGCGCCGAAGCGAACGACTCGTTTAATTATGACTGGGATTTGGAGGACAGCAAGATCGTCGATCTGGTCGTCGCCCAAGTCCCTCGCGCGCTTGGAACTTCTCCAGCATCTCCGGACGACGCCGCAACTTCCGGTCGCGATTTTCTTGCGGCACTGGGTTACGACGCGGTCGACTGGGCAGATCTCGGTGCGGTCATCGCCGCTACGCACGACGCCATGCGGAAGCGTGGGCACGTCTCGGACGCGCGGGTCCTCCTGGAATCCTTCGACATCACCATCTGCAAGGCCTCGTTCGACGGCCGAGTCTTCCGCATTCCGGACCCGCACCTCACTTTCCGCGCCCAGTCGAGGTTCGACCCGAGAAGGCGTGAACTCATGACGCTATACGCAAACTATCTCCTGGAAGGTGACGAGGTCGATCAAGAGCCCGACTCTCCCCGCGATTTCGGCACCTGGCCGGTGATTCTCAAATGCGCCGAGCTCATGCGCACTTTGGGTCCCAAATGGGACGATACAGCGACGCTCGATACGCCGCAAAATGAGCATGGCGTGAAAACTTTCTTGCACCACAACTGGTTTGCAAGGCTCTTCAAAAGAATTCAGAAATATCGTGGCCGAGGCATCGATATCCCCGACGCGCCCTTGGAGTGGGATGGACTCGCGAGACACTTGAAGATCTACTATTCTGAGTAGTACCTCCTCGGAACCTTTGTAAAAATCGCCCGCCGCATGTTACCCGACGAAGGCGAGGGTCGCCGAGGCGTCCGGCGGAGGTCCGCGCGGGCGTCGTCGAGCCCCGGTACCATAAACACCGTTACCCGACGAAGGCGAGGGTCGACGAGTCCGCGGAGAGCATGAGCCCCCAGCGGGACCAGCCGAGGAGGGAGATCATCACGTCGGGCTGGTCGAGGCCGTTGTCGAGCTTCGCGTAGGCGACGTGGCCGCTCCGGTCCACGACGAGCTCCTTGCACTTGCGGTCCGTCCAGAGGCCCTTCTCCGCCTCCTCCATGACGCGGATGGACTCGTAGGGCCGCTCCGGGTGGAGCTTGTCGTTCGTGTGGACGTCGTGCGCGCTGTAGATCGCGTAGTAGCGGCGCCACGTCTCGTTGCTGTCCGGCGGCGGGTAGGCGATGGTGTCCACGGCGGAGATGGACGCGTTGAGCATGAGCAGGCGGATCAGCAGCCGGTCCTGGGGCTTGATGTCGGCGACGTCGACGTCGACGGGCTCGCGGCGCCCGGTGTACGTCGACCGCTCCGCGACGTCCGCGCCCTTGGCGCCGCCGGCCTTGGCGAGGATGCCCCGGACGTTGCCCCAGATCTTGCGCGCGCGGCGCTTCGTCCGGTTCTTCATCGTCTCGAACTCGGGCACGTCCTGGATGCTGCG